AAGAGCGGTTTGGGAGAAATCCGTGTTGAGCTGGAGATATCAGGTTGCTGGAAGTAAGGTGATCTAGGATGGCTCGCTTCAGAATGTGTTCCATCATCTTACATGGCATGCTAGTGAATGTTATAGGCCTGTAGCTGCTAGGCGATAGTCGGTCACCAGTTTTGTAGATTGGCGTAACAATCGCTTCCTTCCAGGCAGAGGGAAGGTAGTTAGCGTTGAAAGAGTATGGTTTTTTGTCCAGTTGCTTTGGGTGAGTCTAGCTGCAGGCTGAATGGTAGGTGTGAGGGGTTATTTTTCCGGCTTGACTGTGCGACAGGTTAACTCCGTCTTTAACCCAGTGTCTGACTAGCTCCTTCAAGGCTATACCGTTCGGTGTCTGACAATGTTTTCATGCCATGTATTGGGTGCTCTATTTAAACCAGGAGCAGACTGAATCGCTGAGAAAGAGTGCTTGGCAGGGAGGCGTGCTGGTGCACATCATTGGGGTCAATGCCTGAGTAAGTGAGTTTTCGTAGCCGAATACTTTTTTCTGACAAAGCAGCAAACCAGGGTGGCATACGTCCTGTGCCTAGCCCCAAAGATTACTATTCGACTAAAACAATGTCAAACACCAAAGAAAAGGAGATGGTCCACAACAAATGAATTATTGCAAGCGGCATATAAAAGGTAGACAAGGATCAGGGGAAAAACAAGAACGCGCGGGTTACGCCCTAAGTGACCATGGTACAGACAGTTTAAGCACGCATATCCTGCTAAATCCAAGTGGCCTGGAGGAGAAACCAGCGTCCACAAGTCAAACAAGGGTATAATTTTGTGGCCTGCCATGTTTCAGAAAACCCGGATCCGCGCTGGGCCAAAGTTTTTGTTTGTTGACGTAGGCGAAATTCCAATCTTTCAAGACGCACTTGCGTCACCACGCAATTAAGAAATTTTAAACGTATCTGCAAAATGTAAAAGCGTTTTTTTTGCTTTGTGATAGAAGTTGGAAGAAGGAAAGCGTGGTAGTCGGTACAAAAAGAAATACAACACATTCAAATGACCAAACAACAATTCCTGACTTTTAATGTGGAACCGTTGATTCAACAGTTTACGTAGTTGCGCAGCAATGTAAAGACGTAAACATTTTTGGCTCTTTAAAGCATGTAGCACCGTACTTAAAAAGGAATCTAGGGGGTAGGTCTTAACTTCAAGCTCTTTTATCGGTTGCTGTGGCCCGGGAGCCTACTTGGTGATTGTGCACAGTTTACATTGATTCTCGATTTGGTAGAACTCTTGGCCTTGTGTGCTTTGTGTTCTGGAAATTTCTGTCCACTTGAATCAGGTCCAGATTGGGGGAATTGGGGGAAAGGCTACATGCAATTTAGTAGGTCCCAATCCCTGAATTTTTAACGCCCCACCTAACACACCCTTCGGGTCCAGGTTGGAGCCTAGACAGGACACAACACCCTATTGGAAGCAAAAGTGGAAAAAACATGGTGGCATTCCATCATTCAGATGCAAAATCCATCATAATGGAATACACTTAACTAAAAGTATGCTTGCAAAATATGTCAACACCCGGAGGAGTGATATGGAAGTCGTTTTCAGGGAAACGACCTGAACAGCGGCTCCCAGCGGTGGTCTTTCACAATAACAGAGAATTGGGGAAAGTGTTCTTAGTAGCTCATTGAGCAACGCATATCTGCTACCCGGTTGAATACAGGTGGTCTCAGCTAATGAGCCGACGAAAGAACCCATTCTGGTGCTAATATAGCCAAATCGTCGAATCGACAGAAACTGGTGCCAGCGAAAGCCGTAGGCCGTTTGAGAAAAGCCTGTATTTTGAGCAATGGTTAATTTCTCTGAAAAGCTAAACAATAACCTAAATGGGTTGTTGTTTTGTAAGAACCCCCGAACGCTTGCGTAAGTACTTTGGGGACATTTGCCACTGAAATCAGCTCACGAGTAGTTCAATCCGAAACCTGCTGACGTACAGCAAGTTCAATGGGAATCAAAATAACGTCAAAATCCACAAAAGATTCTTTAGAAAGCATTAGAAACCAGGTGGTTTCACAAGGAAATCAAAGTACTAGCATGCTTTTATGCCCTTAAACAAATACTGCATGCGAAGCCACTACCAGGATGAAGATGGCTTGATAAAAACTAGTGGCCAAAGCAATAATTACCCTGAAAAGCCGCCCAACAAATCGATACTGTACTGAGCGCAGTTGAACGTGCGCAATCCTTATACAATAATAAAGGGCCGCGAAATGGAGCCCGAAGTGCAGAGGTTTAGAGCAAAGAGATGGCCAGGCATCGAAGGAGAGAACAGACCCGCATCCAACAATTGGAGTGTGTGGACAGCAGTTACCAGTTTTAGCAGCTGTTTATGAAGGAATCCGAGCTAAAGCTTGAGCAGGGGCACCGAAAATAGGGTTTAGATTCAACTTTGGCATTTCAGGTCTTGATAGTTCCATTCGATTATACACGACTGCGACAGACGGGCTGCATATATTACGGTCGTGCGACGTACCTTTTGTGCTTAAGTGGTCGGGCATAAACAGTGAGCTACGTGCTTGCTTATGTATCCGTCATCGCCTCAAACGTCAAGTAGATTTAAGCCCACAAATAGCATGCCATTTGGTGACCTAATATGAATGCGATAATGCACGGCTTATTTGGTTTAATCCCGTAGCAGATGTGGGAACACCTCCAGCGTGGCAGGGACTGGTATCACACCCAGCAGGCAAATTTCATCGGACGTTGATCATGTAGCAGCTGAATTGTTCATTCGTCAGGGTAACCGATTTGTAAACGCTTATTTCCTGGGCGTGGATGTGTCTATGGTAGCGGTTGACTGGGGAAGTCCCCTACTTCACCTACATTTATGTAGTTTCCAAAGGGTTTTTACTATTCTCAACATGACTGGGTGCTTGCGGGTGGGCGAATTTTGTGGTGACTCCTGAAGTACGCGATCCGGCCAGTGCAACCCTCGTATACCTACAGCTTTTTCTGCTATCTTTGGAAGTGCTCGCATTCATATGTCCCGACAGGTGAATGGAATCCATTGTCGCGAGGGCAGCGTTTAATCCCGAAACACTACGATAATTACCTCAGCTACCTCAATATAGCTGAATCTGGCACCACAGTGAGGACGAACTCCATTGCAAAATCGTAGGATCCTAATGTAGCGAGTAAGGTCAGCATCAATTCTTACAAAATGATGGTTGCTTGATAATTTCTATCCCAATCTAACCCGACACTTGTCTCAAACAACACGACAGCTGATAGGGGAATTACATCTCTGAAATCGAAAGACATTCTGGGCATGATTTTGGAAACGCATCTTCCAGCTCTCTCAGCTCGCACCTGTACGCTTGACTGGTGGTGACAAATTCGGAGCTGCTTTAAAGAAGCAGCCTGCAGCCAAATTCGAAGAGGTTCTTCGCTCTTCTCTTTGATGCAGCTAGGTTTTGAATCTTGGGCTGTGACCTGACCCACACCCTGACCCTGTGACCTGACCCACATCCCAGATAATGGCGACAAAAGGGTGTTTCATTCTTGTGCCGGTACGAGGTGGCGGTCGGTTGCACTCAAGAGGATGTGTAGGTAGCTGTTCGCACTTGGTTTGGGTCATATCCGGTGTATTCCATACTAACCACCACTATGTAAATTCGGACTACGAAGCAGGATACAGTCGAATTTCTAACAACAGCACATTCGGGTTACGAAGATTGGACTTAAATCAGTGACTAATGGGGTTAGATTTTATGGAGTTTGGCTGAGTTTATATGCCTTGAATGCGAGCGTGTAGCCCAGAAAGAAGTTGTCATTGAGTTATGCGGAGGATCCCAGAAATAAACAAAGTGAAGAGCATTTTTGGGAGGTGTTGGCACCTCCTAATTGCTCTCTAGAACATGTCGCCACGTTGATCAATGGCGATCCACCTTTTCAAGAAAAAGTGGACGAGTTGTTAGATTTCTGTTACTCATGTTGCAAGGCAGGTTAGAAGAACCCTCCAAAGATGTTATGTTCCGGCGTGCACGACACTGATGTGACTTCCTTGAAAGTCTTCTTTTACACCTCCTCCGTGTTGGGTAACTTGTGTCCGCTGCCCATTCTATAGAAAAACAGAACTTGACCTCCGGACCGACAGAGGCACGACGCCGAAACGACAGGGGCTTTCATCTATCTCCTTCAAGGCTGTCACTTGCGTTTGAGTCAATGCAATCGATCTCCCAAATTCTATTGCATTGTATAAGTAAGCCACGGTGCCAAAAGTTTGTGTCGTGCGCACGTTTTAATCCAGGCAAAATATAGATGCGCGTCTCATTGAAACATCCCCCGCAACTAGAGCCGCCACATACCACAATCTGAATCAAACGTCCGTCGTACAGATAAACGCCGCCGTCACGTAAGTCCTCAATAACCCGCATTTTCAGACCTCCACATCACAATATTTCCGTATTGAGCGCGTGTATCCATGTAATCATGCTTATCTATAATCCGGTACTTAGAAGATTTCGGATTTTGTCATGAATTTGCCAGTGTTACCACCATATCGCAGCAAATTGGGAAACGCGGATTCCCTTTACTTCACTGCTTGAGTCAAATCGGTGTCCAGAGAGGAGGGCGCGTGGTCAACGTATATAATTTTTTGATTTCTTACTCAAGTATGTGACTTTGAACCAAATATTTTCGCTGATTTGTCACCTTAAGAATATTCAGTAGTCACTTTCGCATGACACTTAACACCACATGTCGTTTTCAGTTGAATCTTTGGAGCGCTTCGTGTTTAACCATAAACCACACAATGATTTTTGACGAACTTAGGAATTCCTGGATTGGAGCGAGGCTCGGATCGAGGCCTTTTCCCACGTCTCCCGGTATGGATATGTTTTTGTCGTTCTGCGGCTTCCTTCTAGGTGGAAACGCAAGAAATGGTGAAGCTCTGTTCTTTGATTTCTCAGCGCCAGGCAGTATGCTCTCCACTTCAAAGACTTGCTTTAAAATCACTGAAAGGTGATTTAGAATTGGTGCCATATGCGGCGTGAGCAATCGTCAAAGGAAAGTTATTACACGCTCAAACTACCCGAAAGATAGAAATTACTGGCTAATAACAGTGTGGGTTTTGGGCTTGAAAATCTCACCGTATCTCTTTCGTGCATTACTTGTTCCAGGAGTGAAGAAGCTTCAGGCAGACTCTTATGAAAACGAGACTTAAGTGGGTGTAAGACCAATTTGGAGGCAACGATACTCTATGGGATAGAGGCAAATCAACGCGAGAGTCATCCCATAGTCCATGGATTTAAGGTCGGCATGTTGGACACACCAAATGAAGGCTGCGTCTTTTTCGCATCTTGAGTAGACAACTTGGTTTGCATACTCAAGAAGCAGCCTGACGTGGGTCGAAGGGAGTCCATGAAAGTCTATGACACTAGTACGAAAGAAGGTTCAATGTAACGGGCGAATAGTATCCTCGAGTGACGCGTAATACCAGAACCTCCGGAAGGCAAAACAAAGTCGGAGCTGGGTCTCTATATGGCACTATAAATGTAAGACAAAATCACAAATTATACAAACATCGACAGTAGATACTCATCCAAAACAAATGGTCTACTTGGACTACAAAAACACAAACCAAAGCAGCAAACGTGCTCTCACGTGAGACAGTCACACGTGTACGGAACAGGCCACAAATGGCCGGATGGCTTCAGGGCCAAATGGGTTAGATGGCAAGGAAAATCCCGCGCCAGTTCATATACACACACTAAATACAAAGGTGGAGCCGGGATTACAAAAGGGGACAGAATAAAAGTGGAGAATTTGCACTCAGTATTCGCACAATGGAATCAAATTTGGAAAGCAATGACGTGTCCCTGATGAATTAAAGCAATCAGGCAATTGAGTTCAGGGTACCAGTCCGAGTTTTCAGGCCCCATTTGGGCATCTTGTGGTTCCACAGGACTTTTCGGCCAGGGGCATGCTTGCTTCGGTGAACAATGTAATTTGGCGAGCTTCAAAAATGTGAACGCAGATCGGAACGGTTTTCGATTTGAGCACATACGCAACATAATGCAACGTTTCGGGTTGGAAAGTTTTACTCCGCTTGTAAAAATTTTGCAGCTGAAACCATCGCGCGGATAAAGGGCACCTGGGGAATTTCAAATCTCAACGTAATGTACGATACACCGCCCGCCAACTTCTCCACTGTGGTTCAGCGGACGCCCCGGTTCTTGCTTTCTACCTACGCTCCCCTCCATTCTAAGGCACCCCATCAGCCATCGACGTGAATGGTTCGAGTCCACTTATGCTTCGATAAAGTACAAACACAACCGCGTCCCTTGAGAAATCATACCTTACCACCGTCTCTCTTGAGAACGCCGCCCACAGTTCTAACATGCATGGTTCTTCCTAAGCCATCTGAGTTCGCCTCACAACCATCTACTTCCACTACAGACCAAGCTTCACGAAGCACATCTCCATCAGAGTATAGAGCCACTTTTCTCACCCTGCCTACTTTAATCAACAGATATTAGTCGTGACGTTATGACCAACCCATAACTTCTGCAGCTCGACTTAACAGAAAAACCGGGCTAATTAGTAGGCATATGTCATTTTTTCGGGTTTTTGGACATGTACTATAAAGCTCTTTAACTCGGGTGGCTTCACTCGAGGCTAGGGAAACCAATTACCCTCTTATTAGAGTAAAAGTATTGGTCCTATTAATCATCCATGCAGCAGAAGAAAGTTGTAGATCGCTGGAAAGACCATGTCGATTGGGTCGTTCCCCGATTTTAGGTTTCTCAATTTAGGGAATGACGGCGCACCGCGAACAACTGTCACTCTATTCACGACAAAGGTACGAAATCCAGGAGGTAGGTTTTGGAGAGTGTACAGAACTATCACGGAGTCTGTCCAAAACGCAGCATGCCAAAAGTAGCTCGTTTCACTTTTTCCCATTAGATCTGCTTCTTGGATCGCCAAACACGCAGATGTGAACTCGATCCCTAGTACTGAACCGGGCTTAAGGGGGGGGGCATCCGCGCCTTTGAGAAGACGAGCGAACAGCCAGAAACTTCAGCGCCTACCGTGAAGCGAGCAAATGCTACCGCAATATACACGGTCTCCGATGTATCTCAAAATACATGANCGAATTTGGAAAGCAATGACGTGTCCCTGATGAATTAAAGCAATCAGGCAATTGAGTTCAGGGTACCAGTCCGAGTTTTCAGGCCCCATTTGGGCATCTTGTGGTTCCACAGGACTTTTCGGCCAGGGGCATGCTTGCTTCGGTGAACAATGTAATTTGGCGAGCTACAAAAATGTGAACGCAGATCGGAACGGTTTTCGATTTGAGCACATACGCAACATAATGCAACGTTTCGGGTTGGAAAGTTTTACTCCGCTTGTAAAAATTTTGCAGCTGAAACCATCGCGCGGATAAAGGGCACCTGGGGAATTTCAAATCTCAACGTAATGTACGATACACCGCCCGCCAACTTCTCCACTGTGGTTCAGCGGACGCCCCGGTTCTTGCTTTCTACCTACGCTCCCCTCCATTCTAAGGCACCCCATCAGCCATCGACGTGAATGGTTCGAGTCCACTTATGCTTCGATAAAGTACAAACACAACCGCGTCCCTTGAGAAATCATACCTTACCACCGTCTCTCTTGAGAACGCCGCCCACAGTTCTAACATGCATGGTTCTTCCTAAGCCATCTGAGTTCGCCTCACAACCATCTACTTCCACTACAGACCAAGCTTCACGAAGCACATCTCCATCAGAGTATAGAGCCACTTTTCTCACCCTGCCTACTTTAATCAACAGATATTAGTCGTGACGTTATGACCAACCCATAACTTCTGCAGCTCGACTTAACAGAAAAACCGGGCTAATTAGTAGGCATATGTCATTTTTTCGGGTTTTTGGACATGTACTATAAAGCTCTTTAACTCGGGTGGCTTCACTCGAGGCTAGGGAAACCAATTACCCTCTTATTAGAGTAAAAGTATTGGTCCTATTAATCATCCATGCAGCAGAAGAAAGTTGTAGATCGCTGGAAAGACCATGTCGATTGGGTCGTTCCCCGATTTTAGGTTTCTCAATTTAGGGAATGACGGCGCACCGCGAACAACTGTCACTCTATTCACGACAAAGGTACGAAATCCAGGAGGTAGGTTTTGGAGAGTGTACAGAACTATCACGGAGTCTGTCCAAAACGCAGCATGCCAAAAGTAGCTCGTTTCGCTTTTTCCCATTAGATCTGCTTCTTGGATCGCCAAACACGCAGATGTGAACTCGATCCCTAGTACTGAACCGGGCTTAAGGGGGGGGGCATCCGCGCCTTTGAGAAGACGAGCGAACAGCCAGAAACTTCAGCGCCTACCGTGAAGCGAGCAAATGCTACCGCAATATACACGGTCTCCGATGTATCTCAAAATACATGAAGTCCGGCGTGTAGAATACCACTGATCTGTCTAGGCTTCGTACATTCAGGAAATCGGAAGTTGTGGAGGCTACAAAGGTAAGATAACCAATTATTCCAGAGAGTGCGATTGGTTTCATTAACGGCTCATCCACCTTTGTACAGAGGTTGTAATAGACACTTGACTGGTATTAACCACAGAGAAACAACACCCAGAGGATCATACAGTGAAGATATACAGGAAGGAACGCCGCTGCGTGCTGGCGGTTTTGTCGGTAAATTAATGCAACCACAAGTTTATTATATTCCATATCTCACTGCACCCCTGTGGCACGCTCCATTGGCAATGGGTCTATAGCTAGGTTTCTTACATCGGACATTAGTTCGGTTGGATCAGTTGGTGACACTATTTCGCGATCGCTGAAAGCCCAGTTCCTCGCGCGGAAATCTTTTTTGAGAGCAAAGCATTTATCTCATCAACGAAGCACTTGGCCGTTACAGAGTCCGGCAATGACTTTAAGCAATCATCAACATATAGATTATTATATATTGCACCACAGGTTGAGATGGCATGATCTGAGCCAAATTCCTCAACGATATTTCGTAAGGCGAACTTTGCACAGATAGGGGAGGTGGTGGAGCCAATCGGCCGAGACGCCCAATAAAATTCAGTAGGTCCTCAAAAGAATTCATAGTTTTCCAAACACAGGAATTTCGGAGCACCTCTGTCACAGGGGGTCAACCTTGACCAACAGGAACATCTCCATGTCTGTTGCGACCGCAACTTGCTCTAAGCGAAATCCGAGCATTACATTTACAAGTTTTGTGGCTAAATCAGGGCTCTAATACAAGTGATCGTTCAGGGACACACCATGACATTTGGCATCACAGCCGAATACGACCCGAATCTTTTCTGTTCTTTCGGGTTGGTAACCGGAAGGTGCGGGAGACACCCTGCTTTAAATTTGCTGACAACGTGAGATCATCTGCCATCCGTTCAATGTATTCTTTAATCATGTACGCGCGAAGCACCTTATCGTACTTTCGGTGTAAAATACGACCCTTGCACAGTCTAATTTTCGGATTATCCATAAGTTTTCTGGCCAACCGGGAGTTTTCGGGTAGGTCAGGTGCGTTATCCTTCCATGTGAGCGGCAGCTGATGGTGCCAGCTTACTGGCACCGGACCAGTCCTTGCTATCAACAGTACTCCTCGATCCTCTAGAGAGAGAGTAGTGTTCAGTGCTGAAGTGTCCGAGAATTTCGAGTTGTACAGTCGTTGCAAATACTCCTGGGTGCCCGCACTGCACCGGGTTATACGGTGACTGGCGGCCTTCTACTTTGTCCTGTTTTTCATCAAACCAAAAAATGTCCAACCGTACGAGGTCTTCATAGCAAACGGCTGCTTTCACCCTCCAGGCACTGGTCGAAGACTCAGCGCACTTCGGAAACGTCACACCCAATAAAGAGTCCTACATCGTTTTCAGTCAGTTCGCCGACGGCAACTTCCTTAAGGCGCGACCACATGCGAGCCATTTCTTTGATAGCTGGGGCAGCTCGCACAGGTAAGCTGTCAACAACGAATGCCTATGGTGCACCATGGTGCGTTCGTAT